AATTATCTCGCTTAACTTAAACATGAAGAAAAAAACTCGATACAAATAAGTTTAATCTACTAATTGATAATAACTATATTTTTAAAAATATTTAATACAAAAAAAATGATTATAAAGCATTAAAAAAGTACAAAAGATTAATGAAAAAAATACTGAACTACTCAATTCTACTGCATTTAATAACTCCTTATAATCCACCAAAGCATTTTTATGATCTTGTTGATATCTGTACTAACTTAAAAATTATTTTTAAATTTTCATGAAAGTTCTCAGAAAAATCAAGTTCAAGAATGAGAAATAGGGTTGCTGATTGTATAGGGTTTTTACTGACGAATACACCTTCGAATTAAGCGTTAAACCTCTATTCTCTGGTTTGTATGTTGTAAGAAGAGGAGGAATAATGGTTTCCAGAGACGCAATCTGAGAGAAAAAATTGCATAAGGGTTAAAGCATAAGGATTATAATGTTTAATTGCATAAAAAAATAATCCATAATTCTGGAGTTGATTATTGGTCAAGGTTAGCTTAATGCTACCCAAATAAAGAAAATGTTAGGTAGTTCTAATCCCTAAATTGCACGGGCATTAAGGCCTTTTAAAGGTAATTTACCAAATTACTGCGGAGTTAAGATTAGGCCAGCTTTAAGATTTAGTTTGGCCAGCATTAATGCTAAAGAGAAGGGACTCCGAAAAGTTCTGAGGTAAACTATGAACGAACATAAAAAACAAGCAAATTTTCAGGCCTACCGAAAAATTAATTGCAATTAATTTTGTCATATGTACGTTGTAAAAATCCAAATTGGTTCTAGGTAGAACTCGTCCGGAGGTCTGGTTGCACAGTGGTTCGGGACTAACTAACCTATACAGATAATCCAAAGTAATCCGAAAATCCAACTAAGATGTAACCCTAGCTTGGAAAGGCTTGAAAGAGGCGAGGATTAACTTGGTCCGAGTTTAGGGCTAACTTCTTGTGGATTCTGGGATTCTCTTTACTCTAATTATGTCTTCTTTATTTTCGAAGGTTGAGTTTCGTGGTCACGTTATTTGGTTGTCACGTTTCGGGATTCACGATTTAGGTATCACGAAAGTTTAAAAGTATTGGTGGATCGATTTTAACAATTACGATATTCGATCAATTGTTTAATCAATTCAAAGGTACTATAAAAGAGGATGCGGTATGCTAATTTAGGCACTTTTACTCTAACTACTAAAAACTGGTATTAACAAGAAACTATCACGGGAACAAGACAAATTCGATTTTTCAACAAGACAATTAATAACAACAATTTTATAACAAGGATAATTTTTAACGTGAGGGTTTTATT